CTTTTAAAGGCTACATGCCGTATTCTTAAGACAACCGTTATGCAACTTTTTATCAATTTTGGACGGAGGTTCACAAACAGAATTCAATAATTGTGTACTCTTAATCTTGGGTTGGCAGTCTTTAGTTTGTTTTTTCTTGATGGTTGGTTTCGTCTTTTAAGTTTCTTTGAACTTCACTCATTTTAAGTGTGAGGTTGTAATAATTGGCTGTAGCTTTTTGAGCAAAGGCCGGGATACTCTATTTCATTATCTAAAAAAAAATAAGAATGTGGTGGTAGATATGGCCACAATTGAATAGGTGGCGGCAAAGGTGGTGGTGTTTGTAACGCTCCGCTTTTCGCGAGACGTTAAAAACTAATTCGACAAAATCTTATATGCGAAAATTTAGTTCTTTGTGTGAGAGTCTAAGTTGTGCCAAGGATCTCAATTTAATCCCGTTGTTCCTCCTCATCGAAATCAAAATCCTCCACCTCAAAAATTCCTCTTCCGATTCGAGTCTCCGAAATCAAATTCCGAAAGTCAATCCCTTCCCTTGAATCCTCTCCAAATAATTGTTCCCATTCCCGAAAGTATCAAACTCCCACTTTGTTTCCTTACTCGTCTCCTTGAACCCTTGTGTACAAGTATCAAATTTAGATTCAAATCCCCTTTTTTGAATCCCGTTGGCGACTCCTCCCTCTCATCCAAATCCCAATTCCGGAAGTCAATCTCTCCCTTCCTTGAACTCGTTGCCAAATCCTTCTCTCGATTTCGAGAGGATCGATCCTCATCCGAATCATTTCCTTGACCTCACCTTATGCTCCCAAGAACAAATACCCAAGTATTCCTTTTGAATATTTTCCATGACTTCTCCTTGAGTTTCCCTTGATACATCCCTAAACCCTTGAGTTCGAATATCAAATTTGAATTTGAATCCACTCCTAATCAGTCTTCTCTACAAAAGTCTATTTTACCTCCCTCGGGTGTTGTGGGCCGTATTCCCCCTCAGCCCACCTCCCTCCCTCAACCGTTTCTCCTCCCTCAGCCTCGCACGTGCGTTGCACGTGCCAAGCCGAGCCGAGCTCTCTCTGTTTCTCCTTCTCTCTCGGCTCTCTCTCTCTCTCTCTTTCTTTCTCTCTGTTTCTCTCTCTCCCTCGTCGAACTCCCTCTCCCCGGCGTCGATTTCCCGTCGTCGCTGTTTGAATCCGGCCGCGCCCTCACGTCCGCGCGCGCGCGCTCGCGCGTGGCCGACCGCCCGGTCGCCGCCGCGTCGGCCCTGCCGCGCCTGCCGCGCCTGCGCCGCCCGGCCCCGCTGCCCTGCCGCGCTGCACCACGCAGCCGCACGGCCCCGCGCGCATGCCCGAGCCGCTCCACGCGCGTCCTGCCAAAACCCGGAGGCCGAGCTCTCCCTCTCCCTCCTACTCCTTTCCCGAATCGGCTTGGAGCGAGCCTCTCTTTTTCCCCCTTCTTTTTCCCTTTCCCCGACCACCGCCGGCGTCATCACCTGTCGCCGCCTTTGCTGCACGCGTCGATGACCGCCAGCTCGCTCTCCTTGACCGCCAATGTCGGTTCTTCCTCTCTAAATCGACATTGCCATCTATTAAACCAAGCCGCCCCATCTCCCTCTCGTTCATTCCCTCGCCACCACCGTGCCCTTGCCGCCTTGCTACCGCCGTCCTCGCCTCCCTCCTCCATTGCGCGTGCTGGTGAATCCGGCGTGTGCGCGAGGAGCTGACGCGGGACTCCAGGCGCCGTCTCCTTCCCCTTCCCCGGCCCGAGGCCGGAGAACTCGCTCCCGCGTCGGCGGCCGCTCGTCACAGCGTCCGTCTCGGCTCGGTAGTGCCTCTCCCGTTCTCCCTCCTCGCTCCCTCTCCTCTCCTTAGCTCTGGGCAGTAGTGCGAGTAGCCTTCCAGTAGTAAGCTGGCGCCGCCCCGACCGCCGCCGCTGCTCGCCGTAGGCTCGCCGCCGTCGCCGCCCAAACTCGGTAGTAGCCGCTCGTCGTCGGCCTTCCTCGGTGTAGCTCCACCCAATCCGACTCTAGAAATGAACTCAGGAGGTCGCGTAGATGCTCAAGTCCCTAGGAATCGAGCTCTCGTCGCATCGTCGTCGTTTCCCTCTTTTGCCGCCGCCGGCAAGCGTCGCCGCGATTCGTCGTCGCCGGCCTCCCTCCGGCGAATCCGATCCGGTGGCTCACTCCCTCTCGTCCGTCCTATCGTTCAAATGTACTCCCTCTCTCTCGAATCGTCGCGACGAGCTCCGGTGAACTCGGCCGCCGTCCGCCGTCCATCTCGGGCGCCTCCTCCTCCTCCTCCCCTTTCGCCCCTGCCCGCGTGGCCGACCACGTGGCAGCAACCTCAGCCCCGGGCCCGCTTGACCGGGTCAAGCACCTAGTCAGCCGCCCCCACCGCCCTTTCTTCTGTGCGCGCGGTCCACGGAGAGCCCTTAGGCTGCGCATGGGCCCTCCACCTCTTGGTCCACCCGCGTGCCGCGCCGTGAGCCGCGACCGTAAAACCCTAGCGCCCCGCGCCGCATGAACCCTTCCCCGTGTGCCGAGTCGCTGACTCGTGGGCCCGTCCCGGGACCCGGCACGATGGATCCGGTCCACCCGGACCCATCCCCCTCTCTCTTCCTGCGCGCCCCGCCCGCTTGGGCCGCGCCTTGCCCGGCCATGGGCCGCCTCCTCGCGCCCGCGCCCGGCCCATTGGCTCGACCACGCCGCGCTTATCCCTTGGGCCGTACCCGAGCCGCCAAAGGAAGTCTAAATCTCATCCCTCCTTCCTTTTCTTATCCAAAGGGATTAATAAATCCTTTTCCCTTTTTCATAAATCAATTCCTTATTCCCAAAATTCCGTAAATCATTTCCTTGGTCCCGCACGTCAGTGACGGTCAATAATATTCTTGAGAATATTATTTCTATAAATTTCATAAATCAATTTCCCCTTGTTCCACAAATATCTTCCTTTGCCCAGAAATTCCAATTAAACTTCCAAAATTCATATCTCTCAATCCGTAGCTCTGATTGACTCCGTTTTACTTCCAGTATTTCCATAAAATTGAGATCTATTTAATGGCACTACTAATTAGTCTAAATAGGATCTTTCTTTTGGTCTTTGTTTAGGTTTTCGATTGTTTGCGTATAGTTGCGGTTACCGGATTTCCGTCGATCGCGGGTTTTCTTGAAGATTCGTGAAGCTTCGTGAAGACCTTGAGCAAGGCAAGTCACCCTTTGATCAATTGCTCCTATAATTGAAAAATCAATATTATTTTGTTTGCAACTTGCATTATTAGAATCACTCCTATAACATGCTTGGCCTCGGTTTGCATGTCAAACCGACGGACCTACCTAGTAGTCGCACTAATTCCTGTAGGCTGTACTACCCTAATTCCTTGTCGCTCCACCCTTGTGGTACCTCGGTATCCGTGCTCTCTGAGCGTGTATACCAAATATCCCACATACACCGTTGATTGTCGAAAATTTGGGAAATGGGTTTGAGAAGCCTTGAAAACCCGACATGTGGCGTCGGTGGGTTTGAAAATAAAATGAGCTGCGAAAACTCGCGATGCGGGGGTTGTGCCTACGTGGCACTGTCCCGTATTCGCATATAAGGACCGATTCCTGTAGGAAACTCATCGAACATAATCAAAGTGCAACCACAAGGTGGAATGGGACACCCTGGCTAAGTAACTAGTCGGTTCAGGGAAACCTCGCATGCCAATAGTTGGGAAAGCCGGGGCGGGGTCGGTTGGAGCCAAACCGGGTTCCTGGTAAGGCAAGGAAGAGAAGCTTGCCAGATTACCGATCGAGATGGTTGGAGTTTGATTTGTGAAAACTAAAATGACCTATATTTATGTGATGATTTGATCCTTCTATGTGGCATGAGGTATCCCTGGGTCGGCTTGGGAAAGGCTTTGTTGCGAGCCTCCGATACCGACGGGTGTTCGGAATAAGTTCGTATCTTGTGGGTAAAGTGTGCCCCTCTGCAGAGGATTAACTAACTGTTCGAACAGCCGTGCCCACGGTCATGGGCGGATGTGAGGTGGTTCCCGTTTCATAGATTTGTTTGCCTGTGCTTTGTGAAAAGTTGTTGTGGTGTGGGAATCGTAACCAGAATCAGCCTACGTGGCAGATGGATGACCTGAGTGGTCAGAAACGAATCTGTGTGGTTCGGGATGTCTGCGGGCATCATAGACTAGGCTTCCCGAGTGGAAGCGGATTGCTTTGCTGCTGGGCAGCTGGACTCTGGGAGTCCGAGAAAATGAGAAAGGCTTTGGGAGCCGATTAATCAAGTGAAATGACTCTGGGAGCCGAGAGGTAATGATCTGACCCGGGAGGTCGGTACATTACCAATTGAGTTGTTGAAAAGCATCTCTTAAGTCGATTTGAGACGCGAGTCTCTTTTCAGCCCAAACTTAACAAGAAGTGAATCACTTAGTGATTTCAAAATGATTTCAAACAAAGGATTTGCAAATCAACCTTGCCTCTCTTCCAAGCTTGCATTAAACTCCTAAATTCCCATGACTTGCTGAGTACGAAAGTACTCACCCTTGCTCTATATAAATATATATAGTTCCTTCGCTCTGAAGCTGAAGATGAAGTGAAGTGAAGATTAGGGTTTCGTCCTGGTTCCCAGCCGTCACCTGTGGTGTTGGGTGTTAGTCCGTTGGCTCCGCTGCTACTGCTGTTGTTGGTGTTTCCTCGTCCGTGTCGTCGGTTGCATTCTCGGGCTGTTCTGAGCTGCAACCTAAGTTAAGGTAAATAAGTCCTCTATTTATTTTAAGGATTTGCGATGATTCATATTTGTCACCGTGGGTACCAGCACTATGTCCTGGGACTGGTACCGAGATCGCGGTTTCGTAGGAAGCGGTTCGCGCCGTTATTCCTACGACACGCTTCTATTAGGTGCCGTTGTACGGCGGTGCCGGATTGGGGTGTGACAGTTTTGGTGGGAGCAGGAGTAGAGGTGAAGAGAAGGGTGGTGGCGGGGGAGATTATGCCAAGTCAAATGGTGAATACACAATAATGAAAACAAAAGTGATGGTGTTGGGGGTACGGTTAGCAAAACCACGCGGTTATTACATACAGTAACCTTTTCCATTCTTGAAACCACAATAATCCTCGTACCGGGATAACCACTGCATGGGGCAGGATTACAACTTTAGAAGCCTCCCAAACAAGCCCTCAAAACTTAACAATCCTTCCTTGATTTGTACCTCATGGCGCAGCTCGTGAACGCCACCAGATTGAGGCAGCCGAGTCCGGCCATCATCCAGAAGAAGCGATCAAGGTGCCCCTCGTTGAGGTCGTCGGGGATCCACCCCGGCCGGCCTCCGGTCGCCGTCGCCCACGACACGGCGGTCAGGACGAGCGAGCTCAGGTATACCCCTGCCGCGACGGCGAGGAAACCAAGCGCCATGCACACCGTCTTCATGGCGGGCGGCGCCTGGCTGTAGAAGAAGTCCAGCTGCCCGGCGGAGGCGAGCATCTCGCCCACGCCCATCACCGCGTACTGCGGCACCTGCCACACGATGCTCGTCTTCTCCATTCCCATCCGCGCAGCGCGGGCGCGCTTCGTCTCGACCAGCGCCGCGGCGGCCATGGCGAGCACGGCCATGGTGAGCCCGGCGCCGATCCTCAGCAGGTCGGGAATGCCCTTCTCCCTCCCGGCGAGCCTCCTCGCCGCCGGCACGAACGCGCGGTCGTACAGCGGGATCAGTGCCATGGAGGTGAGCAACTCGAAGGTTGCCAGCGAGGCCGGCGGGACGCGGAGGGAGCCGACGCGGGCGTCCATCGCCATGCCCTGCTCGACGGACATCGAATTGACCTGCGCCGTCCCGGTGTAGAAGAAGGCAATGCTCGCCCACAGAGGCAGCATCCTGACGAGAATCTTGAGCTCTTCGACCTGCGTCAAGCTGCAAAGCCTCCACGGATCGCCCGCCGCCTCCTCATCCGACGCCGTCACGACGGCGGCCTTGTCGAAGAATCTGATCATGGCAGATGCATCTTGAGAATTAGTACTATCGGTTTATCGGTTTATAAGATGTTTTGACTTTTGTTAAAATTAAACTGTTTTAATTTTAACTAAGTTTATAGACAAATATAGTAATATTTACATTCTAAATTAGTTTTATTAAATTAATAATTAAATAAACTTTTATAATAAATTTATTTTGTGTCAAAATATTACTATTTTTTTCTATAAACTTTGTTAAATTTGAAGTAGTTTGACTTTAACCAAAATCAAAAACATTTTATAACCTGAAACTAAGGGAGTAGCTACAAATTCACCAACAGCAACTCACTGGAGATCATCGGTGTGTTTGATCCTCTTAACTCTTTCCATGGAGCAGTCGTCCTCCGGCACCTCGTAGAGAAGGGCGACGTCGGCCGGCGGCGCGACGTTGAACTTGCGGACGGCGGCGACGACGACCTGGCAGACTCTTGTGAAAGGGCTCCCACGGTTTCGCTGAAACCTGTACGCCGGCGTCGCGGCGACCAGGAAGGACAGCCCGACGGCGAGAACCATCGCCGGAATCGCTAAGCCCAGGGCCCACCCGTAGTGGTCCTGCAACCACACCATGGCGGTGGTGGATATCACGGAGGCGCAGTTCATGGTGAATAGGTACCAGTTGAAGTAGGAGCCCTTGCTATTGCGCTCCGATGGGTCGCCGGCGTCGAACTGGTCGGCGCCGAAGGACATCAGGCACGGCCGGAGCCCGCCCACCCCGAAAGCGATCATGTACAGGCCGAGAAACAAGACGAATTCTTGAGCTGAAGCCATGGCCAGAGTCGAAATGTTCTTGATCAGCAGCGGCAGAAGCGCTGAGAGAGACGCCATGAGCAAGCCCTGCACAGAGCAAAAGACCAAACTTGAGGTCCCGAGCTGAATTCATGGAGTAGGTTTTAAATTCTCAAGGGGATGTGGACTGGTTGTTTTAATGTCACTCAAATAGTTATAAAAAAAATAAATATTAAAAAAACGTATTAATATGTGATATATCATTCTACAAATATGCAAGTTAAAATTTAATTTCTACATGTCACAACTAAAAAAAAATACTGAATATACGTTAACTAGCTGTAATTCAATTTTTTTCCGTTGCAATATATAAAAGTTAAATTTGCATTTATATGTTTGTGTAATGATACATCACATATTAATACTCTTTTTAATTTTTTTTTCCATAATCATTTGATATACAACCAACAAGTGAATATCCCCTCAACAGTATACAGTTACTGATTGTAGTGGGAATTGGTTGTGACTAACAGCGACGCCGATGCAGCAGCCGACCACCATGGTGTGGTACTTTCCCCAGTAGGAATCGGCGACGATGGCTCCGGCCAACGGCGTGAGGAAGCAGGTGGCCTGCCACGTGGACACGTTCTTGGCGGCGGCGACATTGCTCTGATGCAGCTCGGTGGTGAGGTAGGTGACGAGGTTGATCGTCATCCCGAAGTAGGCCAGGCATTGGCAGAACTCGGTGCCTATATATCCAAAAGCACTCAGATAATCACATGAACAAGAAATTAAGCACCTTTTTCAAACAGAAAACATCACAAAACACACTAAATTAAATTACCAAGAATCGAGCGGCATGCTCTCCATCCACCAGTGCGATGCTTCAGCGCCGGGTTGCCATCGATGTCAAGAGACCCATCCGTTGTGTATACTTCTTCTTCTGCTACCTGCAACCCCAGCCAAGTTGAATTCAGGCAAGGCTGCAATGAAATTTCAGGCAAATTGCATAGTAAAAATAGACATGGCATCGGCATTGAGTAACAGCGAGACCTTGGGGTCAAGCAGCGCCACTGCGTGTTCTTGCTGCTCCGTGGAGGCCATGGCGAGAACCGATGGAGAGATCGCAAACTAAGCTATTAGCACCAGGTGCGCGACCTGATTGGTATACTGGTCTACTTATCCAACAACTCTACCAGAACCCACAAAATGGGAAAACAACAATAGTTTAGGTGTGGAGACTGATTACAGTGATATGATATGCAGATATGGTATATGATTGCTCTTGCGACATTGACGCCTTGGCATTTTTTTTCTGGTTGTATCGTCGATTTCTCAAACAATGACGAGATCAGCAAGATCATTATTCTTGTACTTTCGTCTTTGGAATATATTGTAGGTCGTAACAATATGCGTCTCGATCTCATTTCTTTCGATTTCTTTAATCATAAGAATCACGATCCACACCAGTGTAGTGGAGGACCTGAGTCATGTATTGAACTTTCTCATTTATTCCTGTACGCCACGTGCAGACATATGTATATTTCTGTCCTAACTACCACTGACATGACATCATCTATTGGGTTAATTTGATTAATGCTATTATAAATGTGCCAAATTAGAAAATAATATTAATATTCGCTATATCGGCTGGGTATCACTTGAATTTTTTAAAAGTGTAATCATATCATCGCAATCACGTTTTTTATCATCAGATAGACCAAAATGACCCCCCACATATGGAACCCGTGTATCAGTTTCATCCTCTTCAACCCTCCCCTTTCATTTTACTTCTTCGTCCCCCCCCCCCCCGACCCTCTCTCTCTCTCTCTCTCAAGCTGCATCCGAGCGGAGCGGAATTAGAACGTTGAAGGCCAATGGGCGGAAAGGTTGGGGAGGGTGACGCTGCGCACGGTGTCATTGGGACATGTGGACACTCTTTGGGAGCTTTTGCACTGCTTGCAGGACGGCTACAGCATGCGCCGCTCTATTTGTGAAAGGGCATGTAGCCTATTGGTTGCAGTGACCTGAGTAGCACCCAAAGTCCTGAGTTCAAATCTTCATATGAGCGAATTGGGTTATTTGAGAGCTAAGTTCCTTGTTTGATAGGCTAAGTTCCTAACTTAAAAAGACTGTATATATCCGATTGGATGTAGAGGCTGGATAAAAATACCCTTCTCTTAAAAAAATGTGCCGCTCCATGCTCGACGGGTGCCACCTCCTCATCCATCTAAGCCAACGCCCGCGAGCTCGTCACTGGCAAGCCGGCCACTTCCCATCGGCACTCGTGTGCCCTCAGTGACGTCGGCGGCCACACTGCGACCATGGCTGGTAGCGAGCCACCAACCAGTTCCTTATTGTCTGGTTCGCGCCGTGCCCGCTCGCTCGCAGCAGGCATCACCACCGCGAACGCCGCCATCGCCGCAGGGAGTGCTGCCTCCATGGAGGACCAGTCCGGCGGCTTGCTGTTGTGCTCGCATGGCTGTGCGGGCTCTTGGAGACACGGCGCTGCTTGATCTTGACCTGCGAGATAGACGCGACACTCCTTCCTTCTCGAGCCAACGGCGAGCTCGAGCAGGCTATAGGGGCGGGAGGTCTTGGGAGCCACCGCTATCGACGTTGTTGTCGACCCCCTCCTATCCGCAACATTGTCGAGCCATATCGGGATCTTGTTGGCGAGCAGAGAGAAGAAAATAGAAGAGGGAGGAGAGAAGAAAAAGGTCGTGACAGAAAACGTGACGGAGATTGCATGATTCTAATTTTATAATTAGTGGCATCCAACCAATATCATAAATAGTAATGGTATTTTTTTTGATTTAGTATATTTGCAATGGCATGGATCAAATTAACCCCATTGCACCGTGTAGCAAATGGAGAAAAAACACCAAAGCCCTAGCAGCAGGTGGACGTGGTTTTTCTGCACCTAGGGCCTCTGCCGTCCGATCGATTAAGCGATTCGTGATGTATTTCCCAGGTTTCAATATACAGCATGTAGGTATCGTGTACGTCCGAATCTTAAGGCGCATCCAGCGGTAATGAGCCTAGGTGCAGCAGCAGGTCTCCCAAACAAGCCCAGAAACATCAACAAGCCTTCCTGGTTTTGTACTTCATGGCGCAGCTCATAAACGCTGCAAGATTGAGGCAGCCAAGTCCGGCCATCATCCAGAAGAAGCGATCAAGGTGGCCCTCGTTGAGGTCGTCGGGGATCCACCCCGGCCGCCCGCCGGTCGCCGTCGCCCACGACACGGCCGTCACGATGATGGAGCTCAGGTAGTCCCCCGCCGCGATGGCGCCGAGCGCGAGCGCCGCGCACACCGTCTTCATGGCGGGCGGCGCCTGGCTGTAGAAGAAGTCCAGCTGCCCGATGGAGGTGAGCAGCTCGCCGACGCCCACCAGCACGAACTGCGGCACCTGCCACATGATGCTCGTCTTCTCCATCGCCGTCTGCCACGCGCGGACGCGCTTCGTCTCGACCAGCGCCGCGGCGGCCATGGCGAGCACGACCATGGCGAGGCCGCCGCCGATCCTCACCAGCTCGGAGATGCCCTTCTCCCTGCCAGTGAGCCTCCTGACCGCCGGCACGAACGCGCGGTCGTATAGCGGGATCAGCGTGATGGTGGTTAGCATTTGGAAGGTGAGCAGCGAGGCCGGCGGGACGCGGAGGGAGCCGACGCGGGCGTCCATCGCCATGCCCTGCTCGACGAACGTCGAGTTGACCTGCGCCGTCCCGGTGTAGAAGAAGGTAATGCACGCCCACAGGGGCAGCATCCTGACGAAGATCTTGAGCTCCTCCACCTGCGTCACCACGCAAAGCCTCCATGGATTGCGCGGCGCGGCGCCCGCCGCCTCCTCATCCGAAGCCGTCACGACGGCGGCCTTGTCGAAGAATCTGAGATCAGTGGTGTGTTCGATCCTCTCAACTACTTTCATGGAGGAGGCGTCGTCCGGTAGCTCGTAGAGAAGGGACATGTCGTCCGGCGGCGCGACGTTGAACTTGCAGACGGCGGCGACGACGACCTGGCACACTCTGGTGAGCGGGCTACCGCGGGTTGTCTGAAACCTGTACGCCCGCGACGCGGCGACCAGGCAGGAGAGCCCAACGGCGAGGACCATCGCCGGAATGGCCAAGCCCAGTGCCCACCCGTAGTGGTCTTGCACCCACACCATGCCAGAGGTGGATATCACGGAGCCGCAGTTCATGGTGAAGATGTACCAGTTGAAGTAGGAGCCCTTGCTGATAAGCTCCGACGGGTCGCCGGCGTCGAACTGGTCGGCGCCGAAGGATATCAGGCATGGCCGGAGCCCGCCCACCCCGAAAGCGATCATGTACAGGCCAAGAAACAAGATGATCTCCATGGACAGTGTTGATGAGCTCTCGATCAGCTGCGGCAGAAGCGCCGACAGAGACGCCATGAGCATCCCCTGCACGAACGAAGCAGAGAGAAACCAAACTTTGAGCTGAATTCATGGCGGGACGCAATGATTCGATTGAATTGGGGATCGAGTCATCACTAACAGCGACGGCGACGCAGCAGCCGACGACCATGGTACGATACCTTCCCCAGTAGGAATCGGCGACGACGGCGCCAGCCAGCGGCGTGAGGAAGCAGGTGGCCTGCCACGTGGACACGTTCTTGGCGGCGGCGACATTGCTCTGGTGCAGCACGGTGGTGAGGTAGGTGACGAGGTTGTACATGATGCCGTAGTAGGCCAGGCAGTAACAGAATTCAGTACCTATCAGAAACAGAATAAGCATCGCCTCAGTGGACGAATCAAAGAAATAAATTCTTCTTTGTTGAAACAAGAACATTAATCATCAACAAATCAGCAACTAATTAAGCATACCAAGAATCGAGCGGCATGCCCTCCATCCACCGGTGCGATGCTTCAGCGCCGGATTGCCATCGATGTCGAGTGACCCATCTGTGGTGTATGCTTCTTCAACCTGCAGCAACGAGAATCCCCAGCCAAAGTTAGCACTGAACTTGTTCAAGCAAGTCCCAATCCATTCAGCCATGCAGAAAACTGAAGTGCACAGTGAAAATCGACATAAGAATTGCTGAGGTGTTCAGGAAGAGCGAGACCTTGGGTTGGAGCAGCGCCACTGCGTGTTCTTGCTGCTCGCTGGAGGCCATGGCGAAAATCCGGTCGATTGAGAGCTCGTGAACTAGATGATAGCACAGCCACCGAGTCGAGATATGGGTCTACTCTATCACTCAATCAGAAACCACAAAAAGAGAGAAAAGGAAAGATTCGTTCTACTAATTTAGGTGTGGATATTAGATTACTCTGGTGTGGTATGGTACCATTCAAATTGCGCTTTTCTGACGTTGACGCTTCGGCATTTTGTTAGTCGTTGTAGCGTCAATTTCTCCAACAATGACAATTGACGGTAAGATCAAGTAGACCATTTTTTGTTCATTCTACTAGCTGTTGCTTATATAATATCCCTTATTCCTTTTGATTTATTAATCATAGTTTTTTTTTAAGGACGGATGTAGTACTACTCCCTCTAGTTCTATAATAATTGATGTTTTGGACAAAGTTGAGGTCAAACTTTTATAACTTTGACCATCAATAACTTTAAAAATATTTAGTTTAAAGAAACTAGGACAACATATATAGATTTGTCTTTCAAAGCACTATAATAAAAGTAAACATGCATTTATTTATTTTGTATATTATAATAGGAAAATAAGGTCAAAAATATATTTTGTAGACCGTGCCATTGTCCAAAACGTCAATTAAAATGAAACCGGAGGGAGTACTAGTCTACTACAGTATAGTGGAGAGCTTGTGCTGTACTGAGGCCCCTGTTTAGTTCCCACGCAAAAACTTCTCACACTGTCATATTGAATGTTTGGACACATGCATAGAGTATTAAATATAGACAAAATAAACTAATTACACAGATTGCGTGTAAATTGCGAGACGAATCTTTTAAGCCTAATTGCTTTATGATTCGACAATGTGGTGCTACAGTAAATATTTGCTACTGACGGATTAATTAGGTTTAATAAATTCGTCTCGCGATTTACGTGCGGAATCTATAATTTGTTTTGTTATTAGACTACGTTTAATACTTCAAATGTGTATCTATCCGATATTGAATATTTTCCTCTACTCTTGGATGTGACATGCAAATATTTCAGTCCCAAAGTGACCCGTGACATCATGTTCTTGACTTTTGCTCAGTGCAGCAAATTGAGAAAAAAAAAACTGCACAAATTGCCAACCATACTACTCCTATACGTGATGTAAGAGTACTAGCTAGCACCTCATCTCTTTGGGTTTTTTCCTCCTTTTTTGTGGCCGGGCCCTTTTTTACATTGTTTTTGGGATTTTTTTAGCCACTAGTTTTAAAAGTTCAGATTTTATTATTACACTAACCGTGCCAACAAAATAAAGCCAAAATCAGGTGTAAAAAGCGGTAGAAAAGCGTGTGACCGAGACGGTGAGGGCAGTACGTATGCACATTGTTGTTGGTTTATTAGGGTCTCCTCTCGGGCATGACTAATAACAATGTGCGACCTCGAATCTGATCTCGGGTAGAAGTTTAGGCCATTCCCAACCCAATAATTAGAATGGTGTTCATAGCATTAAATAAGCTGTCATATATGATGAAAAATGATGTGACAAATGAATAAATGAGGAAAGAGAAGAAAACCATGAGTCTTGCATGAGACATGGTTTCTACACAACATCCAAGACATCATGTGAAATAAGTAGCATTAAATTTAAGTATAGAATAATGGTGTTTGTATTGGAAGAATGGAGTCTAGTAGTAGTTTTTCGATGATGTGAAGTTTATGAACACTATGTGTAGTGTTTTGGGTTAGGAATGGCCTTAGGTAGGTTCTTTCCGGATCCGGCTTCTCTGACTTTGGACGGAAAAAGCATAGAAGAATAGTAAAGTGTGCCTGGTGCTACAGTTAAAAACAGTAATTTGTAGTGATTTACTGTAGCAACAAGGGAAAAGCTGTGAAATTACAGTTCACGGTTACTATTCATCGGACTACTGTAGCGATGGATCTCGTCCGTTTGCTGTGGATCCGACGACTAAAAATTCTTCCGAAGTTACAGCACTGTAGCTCTGTGACTTTACATGTGTCCAGTCAGAGGATCCAAATCCATTCTTTCCTAAAGCTAAACTGAATAAAACATCGAAGCACCTTGTTACTGGTTTTTTTTTCAAGTTTTTAGTATATTGTGTTTTGATTTTATTTATCCGTTAGTTTTAAGAGTTGAGATTTTATGATTACGCTGAGTGCGGCAGCAAAACGAGGCCCATCAGGTGTTAAAAGGCGGTACAAAGAGCGTGTGAAACAGTGAGTGGTGTCATTGGTTTGCTGTTTTGTTTTTTCAGTTTTCGGCACATGATTTCGGGATATTTTTGCTCATAGTTTAAGAATTGAGGTTTTATGATTACGTTGTGTGCGACAATAAAACAAGACCTATCAGTTGTAATAGGCAGTAGAAAATCGTGTGAGACAGTAAGTGCAGTAAATCCATTCTATACGATCAATAAAGTATAAATTCTATAATATAACACTGACAAAGCTCAAAGCTCAGTTCTTTAATATATAATCGAACAACTTGTTTTTTATTTATATACCATTGCCGCCAACCGTTAATCAAACACCGTTAAGAGGAAGAAAATATTCATTTTACCCCTACGGTATCATGCGTGCTTATAGATTTAATTGGTCATGATCCATTATATTTTTTTATTAATGAAAATTATAAGTCATTTATCTTTTTATTATCCAAAATTATTTGATGTGACATGGCATTGTGCAAAATAGTGATGATATATGGGGAAGAAAATGGTTGCTCAAGGTCGATTTCGCATCAAGTTGGGACCTGTTCTTTCAAATTTCAATCACGGTTGATCTGATCCGGAGCGGTCGGTGGTGCTGGATCCGATCGATCTTCGGTTTGCAGAATCGAGCACGTGCTTTAATTTCTTTATCTCCTTGTGTGTTTTGGTTAATTAGCCGTGTGGATCCTTTCATGTCAGTGTAGATTTTAGTTCCTTTTCAAATGATGCTGTGTGTGGCCAATAATCCATGCAAAAAGTACTACTAGACGAGGTTCATTGGATTGAGATTGTGAGAGTTGTGCTATTTCTTTTGCACATCGTAATTTCTGAAAATGAGATTAGTCAAAGAAAAGAGAGAGATAGAGAGAGAGATGATGTTGCCTGTCTTCACAAAAAAAAACACCTGGATGTTTTTGGTGGTGCATGTATGCAAATGAACACCTTGTGTATGTCAGACATGTGCGTATCTTTTTTTTTTTTGCGAGGGAAGGGAGAAATATATTACTCAGCCAGCATCGTCATTGACGAGCTGTAAAATATGGTTACAATTGTTCTCTAACCAGATTTCAGAGATATGCTCGCAACGAGCTTTATTAGCTAGCCAGTGACTAATGCGATTTTGCGAGCGCTGAGCCTTGTTAAGCTTGATCTCCCTATTCCCTTGGACCAGGTCCTTAATCTCCCTGACGATAAACGCCTCCGTCGACATCACCTTCTCCGTGCTCTGAATCAATAACATTGCCTCCAGACAATCGGTCTCCAGGACAATGGGGAGGAGGGTGTACTGAAGCCCCAGAATCAGTCCCTCTCTACACGCTTGAAGTTCAGCTTCTAGAGCGCTATTACAGCGCTCCAAGTGGCGACTAGAGGCAAAAAAGGCCCTCCCTGTGCAGTCACGCATTACCAAGCCAATACCCCCAATTCCATTCCGGCTATCATACGAACCATCAATGTTAACCTTCATCCACCCTCTTATCGGTTTCTCCCACCTACAGACCCCATCATTTTTCATCCGCGGCTGAGCTTCAGGGAGAATTGGGGACGTATTAATCACATGCTTCCCTTTCACAAGATCAATGTGGGGATGTTGCTTTATCACTAACAGCGAGTTGACATAGCTTTCCAAAAACCTTCTAGACACCTCGGTTGGTGGCGCCGGTTTATCATGAACTATTTCATTTCTTACGAACCAGTTACGCCAGAGCACCATAAGGAGCATTCGATGAAGGTGAGCCTGATTCATGTCTAAAAGATCAAACATCCTGTGTTTAAGACCCGCTGAATTACCCTTTGTCGGTTACATGGGATCAGGAGTATCATGACTAGAGGTTTGAGGCAGACACAATCGCACACGTGGCCTGGTACCCCCGAGGGACGTCGGGCCCGAGGGTGATGTGTTCGCCCTCCTCTTAGTCCCCCCGAGGGGGTCGGGCCGCACCCCCCTCGGCCCCGAGGGCCGAGGCGCCCCGACCCCTCGTGGGTTTTTGCTCCGCATGTATGGGTTAGGTGAGCACAGTGGGGCTCACCTAACCACATTTATTGCGGTTGGGCTGAGCGTGTCACGCCGTATGTAACGCAGTGCAGTGCACTCGTTTATCCGGTCTGTGACCAGTCTCAGACCGGTCAGATCGCGGGTTAGGTGGCGACAGGCGATCTGACGCACGCCTCGCCCCATCCCGTCAGGACGAGGGCTTCTAGGCGCTCGTCCCCAGCTGGAGCTAGCGTGTTACCTCCCAGAGATGGCACGTTAGTCCTGGTCAGATATATGCCAGGCTTCATCCTAACCATTACAGGCAAGATGTTGTGTGAAGAAGGGCGAGCATGTAGATTGCTAAGCTGACACGTGGTGGACAAGAATGACCGACGTGACTGGTCTGATACCGGTCATGTCGTCAGCAGACAGCCACGATTCCACGTCGCGCCTGCTTCCGGCGGAAGTGGAGGTAGGTATGGGCCGTCCCATCAGAAGGTCATTCGGACGGCAACCATACAAGTCTCCGTCTGTTTATGAAAAGGTGGGGTAAGTCCCCACAAAAAAGAGAGAAATGGTGCATGTGGTATCCCCTTAAGATATAAAAGGAGGACCTTGCCCACTGAGATGGGGACTGGACTTTTCCAGATTAGAAACCCAGAACAAGGGAGAGGCTGGCTGATACTTTGTAGCTCCTTCATACACAGATCTCCCAAAACACAGGAGTAGGGTATTACGCTTCTCAGCGGCCTGAACCTGTATACATCGCCCGTGTCTTGTGTGTTTCCTGTCTCGCGAGCCTTCCACATACAGAGAGCTTAGAATCTCTCCCTGAGTCCCCGGCCGAACCGGCAAAGGGGGGCCTGCGCGGTCTCCCGGTGAGGAGCCCCACGCTCCGTCACCCTTGCCGGGCGAAGAACAGTGTAGACCCTCCATAGACTTGAACAGTGCCCTGGAATGCGGACACCACAGCAAGG